TTCCCGGCTGCAGACACCTCACTTGCTTATTAACCCTTTAAAGTCGGTCGGAGCGGGCATGCTCCGTTTTGCGTAACTATTTTTAAATCCCGGTAGCACTGCAACCACGTAAGCTAGCGCAATAATTCTTTTTGCATATGAAACCAGAGGAGTTTTTAAGTTTATATATATGGCCCATTGTACCCAAGCAAGCACCTCCCAGCTCACCACACACATATACACACACGTGAAAATTAGTAACATATAGCAATGAATTAATAATATCAATAGCATCGTTCCAGCACCATGGACAGCCACTAAAGCCAGAGGTTGGGGACACAGGCACATTTATTTAGGTTATGCTACCAACTCAGACAGTCTTCAAGTCAGCCAAAATGCAGCAGTGATTTCCAGTAGACCAGCTTCTACATAGATTCCACACATATTACAGTATGAGTGGTAATATAAAAGTGGTAACAGTGTTTCAATCCTTGACAAAAACATGAACACAAACTACTCACTCTTTGAGGAGAGCTTTGCTCACGTCCCGACAGCACGCTCATCCTGCTCTTTTTCCCCTTCCTCTTTTGAGCACCTTTTTTTTTTTTTTTCTTTTTTTAAAAGGTGCGTTGGCAGGTTGGCACCTATTTTCCATAAATGATAGAGAGAAGGATCAGGAAGTACAGCTGACATATTTCCTCGTATGCCCCCCTACCATCAACACTTATCAGGAAAAAAAAGAACCTGTATTTAATCAACTGGCTCTAAAATGATCATTTACATCTGAAATTAAGTTCAAAAGGAAAATGTATGTACATATAGTTAGGCTTTGGTTCACAAGCTAGAACCATGACTTAAACATATAGTGGGTTGTTTTTATAATCTGTCCATCTTTAAATGCAGTGACCAGACAGATGCCATGTAATTTGACTATTCCATAATGCCCTGAGACACTGGCCCTGCATATTTCTCTTCTTTTATAGCTCAGGAATAAAGAGGTTCTCAAATTCCAGGTAACTGAATCACTGAATTAAAGGAATGGGATTAAACTGAAAACTAACAGGTAGCTTGTGGAGCCGCTACATTTTCTGTGTTCTGTGTAAAGCCTTTACACACCGGACGAGTAAAATTTTTACCAATACTTCATACATTAAAATATTTTTCAGACTAATCCTTAATGCAGCCATTCACACCAACCGCGTATTTTCGCAGGACAAAATTTGGGCGTTTATTTTGTCAGATCAAAGTTTGATTTTATTTTTGGATGTGGATATATAATCTGGGCAATCAGACCACTACATTTGGCAGAGAGTCCGCTCATAGCTCAAAACGCACACCGGCACTAAATTTACAATGATATGGAAATCAGACCCACAGCAAGGCTCAGGGTCAGCTGGCTCTCTAAAATGATTTCTCTGCCTCCTCAGATGTGTTCCCAATCAGAGTTCAAATTGTCTCACCGACATCCCAAAATATGTACGAAAGCAGTCATGATCAGTCGTGACCTGGATCAAACCATAAAATTCACCCTGCTTCTGACTTCACCTGAAAAACTGGGTGAACCCAGAACCCAGAAAATCCAGTATGTTTAAAAACATCGTGAGCAGCTCTGGGTTTTTTAGGACATGTTTTTTTGCAAAATCGCAGTGCTTGTGGTGTGTATACACCTTAGATGACAAATTTACATCCAAAAAATTCTGAATTGAATGTTGTATTTTTGCAATACGCTCGCTGTGTAAAGCCTTTTCGAATATGCTGACCTGAAGTGATGAGGTCAGCATATGTCAAAGGAATCCCTGTTAGCTGTTTGTCTTCAGGCTTTCTAAAATGCTTCAAACTGTTTTTTTCCATCTTTGAACTGTATGATGTCAGAAAGGGGCTCTAGGGACAGAAGCCCCACCCACCTGCTGTTTAAACATTCTGTTTGTGACAAGGAGCCAGTAAAAAGAAAGCAGCTACAGATCCACTGTAAGAACAATGAGGATTATTTTGAACTGTTATTCATACAAAGCTGCTCTAGTGGAGTCCAAGAATAAGAGAGGGTCTGGAAATCAGGATCATGGGTCCGAAACAGCAGGTTCTGTGTATAAGTGTCTTTAACAGTAACTG